AAGAAATTCCAGTCCTATTTTCAGCACCGTCACCCTCTAAGAGCGTGACATGAAGGAATACACCAGTCTTCTCAAAAGAAACAAGGAAAAAACAACTCTGCCTCCCACACTCACCGTTTTATTTTACTCTCTGATATGGTCTGTCTTCTCAGCTAGACCCACATATTTCCAGAGAGATGGCAGTCAGTTCACCTAGCCCATCCTAGCTGATTGCTGAGCTGAATCATTAGGGAATAAGGCAGTATTTTTTTCCTCTGCTTTTCAAATAGGGAGGGGACTTCCTTCCTTATATAAACTTAAAAATCCTTAAGAGATTTTCAGGACAACTAACACCATGCTGTCATAAGGCAGTCCTTCCAATTGGCTCAGAAGTTTGGCAGCAGGAGCACATTGTGGCAGGTGTGTCCACAAAACTACAGTTCTTTTGCAGTTGTAAAGCAAAATGATATGTGCAGCTGCCACCTCTCTAACAGCACACACAAGAAAAATCCATAGATCAATTTAAACCACCACTCTAAAACACTCCAAAAATACTAAAGTATAGCCAAAGGGAACATCGTATAGAACAGGCCTAGCAGTCATTCTGTAACAACTGTTCAAGTTCTCCAAAGTTTTCCCATGGCCTATACATCAAAATGATTAAGTTTCCACAACTGCAATGAAGAGCTCTGCCACTTCATAAATACAGAATTTAATCCAGTCCTCTTTCCTTTTCTTTTATATGGCTAGATTTCAGGAAAAATTTCCAGTGTAACCAGCGGAAGCCTGGAACTTACTGTTATGTTTCATACTGTTTCTTTTACAATGGCTAAGCTACTGACCAACACTCATTTGAAGGTAAAGGTAACCTAATGTTCTTAATCTCAAATTGAAGTGATTCTTTGTAAAACTGCCCAGGAATTTGTTGAACTTTCCTATCTAACAAAACAAGATGTCAGACAAATAAAACTGAGGCACATAATACACTGAAAAAATAGCAAGCTAATACAAATGATCTCATCAGTGGTGTTAAATATATCCCTCTATATCTTAGCATGCAATACCTCAGGAAGCAGGAAGTGTGCAGCATGGAATTACAACAGATTCATTACTCCAAATGAAAAGGCTACCATTTCCAAAAGGAGTGCTCAGAGTGAGATATTGTCCCTTCTGGGAAGGGCAACTGTCATAAACTACGGGCACAAACAATTTATGTTTTGGTAATTTGACAGGTTCAGCAACCTAATTTAATTCTTTCATTCAAGAAGAGGATAAATCATAGAGTTGAATGTAAACATTAAATCAGTATAATTCATGCTTGTTATGATGTTCTCATTACAGATACATTTTCATTGAAAATTGAATTGCAGTGATGGACAGCAGTGATAGTGTAAGAAGGAACCAGTCAAGGAAGTCTGAATGGTGAGTGGAAACGATCCTTTTTCAACAGCCAAGCAATGCTTGATTAAGGGCTACTTTTCCATCCCCTAAGACATCCTGGTATTCATTTTTCATAAAAGCTGGACACTGAACATCTGTAGGCTTGTGTTCAGGTGCTTTTAGCACATGTGAAAATTTGAGGACCACATCCACAGGTGATATAATTAAGCATAATTTAGTTATCTCATTTGCAACAAAACTGATTTTTACCAGATAAAGATCCAACACTCAAAATATAGTGGAAATGACTGTTTATCTTTAAATTACGTTATGGATCAGCAACACTATGACAAAAGAAAGTTCATATAAACTCACAAGTCTTACCTCAGATGCTAAGTTACCTAAGTTTTTGCAGAATTAGAGCAACTCATCCTTACTTAAAAGCCACAGTTGGCAAATATAGCCCCCCATACATACAGAATCCAAAGACAATATCTGAGATACCAAGGGAAAGGCACTTAAATGTTTTTATTTTATTTTCTTCCTTCAATATCTATGGTGATATTTACCCATTTGAATTAATTTATATAGAAGTGTCTTAGTAATACCTGAACTACACATTCTCTGAGGAGGTTAGAGAGCTAAGAGATGAGCTAAGGACACAATATAAAAAGCATATTAGGCCATTTTCCTACTTTAAAATAAATGTTATCTTTGATATGCTATTTAATAATTATTAACAGATTATGTGAAGGAACATAAAATAGCTGCTGGTGAAATTCTACCTGCTGACAATTATAAATGACAGAAAATAACTTAAGCAGCTTAATTGCAGGAGCATGGAATGGAAGCCCCAGGGAAAACTGCATTTTTTCTTTTGCCACTCCTCCTGTTTGGATCTGTGCACCCATGTGCAGCATACAACAAATCACAGAGCATCATTACTTCCTTGTGTGGGAAGTTTTTGCCATAATCTACAGAATGGAGTTTTCAAGAATTTTTTCTGTAGAACAAAAGGGTTTTTCCTTGCTCGAAGAAAGTTTTAGCCTACAATTACCAAATTATTACTAACACATGTATCTCAGTTTATTTGTTGCTGCCGAAAATGTGTTATATTTAAAGTATTCATTACTCATTGCCACCCTGAATTGAAAACAGGGTTGATTCATTCTGATCTTTCTATCTATAGTTTTACTTTGGATGAACTCAATTTGCTTCACTGGCGTAATTAGAGACCATACCAGAGTAAGTGAGATCAAAATCAGGCCCTCCTCCTCTTCCAAAAATAATTTAGCACTGCACTGAATTTATAGACCAGGGAATAGTCCATCTGTGAAGGTTACAACGTCTTTCAATGTCAGCTGCCACTTCTATGGGTACAAAAGCTACTACAGAAAAGTACAGATTATACCTCCAGCACTGGTTGATCTCCTAACAAAACAGGAAAGACTAGTCCTGATGCAAGGACAAGCATTGTTTATCTGAAAATACTCTCCTATGAGGCTTCCAACAGATGGGTTTGGCTTCTTTTCTTTTGAAGGCTTCTTAAGAGCCCTAACTGGCAGTATCTGCTCAAAATATTTTTTGAATCAGCATCCTATGACCAAACTGAAAACAGCATGGCTCACATTAGAGCTACACCAGTAGTTTATTGGCATTCTTCTATAGGAAGCTTGTAATTCCTTCTATCATGACATTCTCTTCCTAATAAGGATGAATATGGGCTCTAAGACATTATAATGCTTCTGTAATGTGAGGGAGTCAGTCAACTCATTGCTTATAGGCATGGCTGAAAAATAAACTCTCTTTCTCCCTGCTAGCATGCTTAACAAAGCATGATTTTTCACACCAATCTAAAAAACGTACTCAGGGCTTTCCTACCTCCATGCGAAATGACCTTTTTGTAAGGTTCAATGACTTTCATATCAATCCTTTGCTCTTGTTCTCCAATAACCACTGTTCTCCATAACCTATTGTCCTCTCGCTCCTCCTCAGCGGTGTATTCTGGAATCAATTTGGACTCCTCCTGGGAAGCATCCTTAATGGCTGTCTGGTCTTCTGAAAAATAAAATTGTATATATATCATCTTCATGCAAAGACTTGCTATATTTTCTGTTACATACATTTTAAGTAGATAACTGAAATCAACTAGCTTTTTAGAGCACTATTCTGGATCTGCACTGTTACAAATAAGAGCAGAATTTGATCATGTAATAGTAAGTGAGAAGTCTCTCTTTTTTTATTTTAAACTTTTCAGCATTATGAACATAACAACAGCAGCAGCAAACATGACCATGCAGCATACTGCCCAAGGATTTTAGCATTTTGCAGGTAATCACACAAGACTCATCAAGTTAGTAAAACTGATTGGCTACTCAATAGAGCTACTGCATTGCAGCTCTTGAAAAACCTTTGTGCTGCTGGTATGATAACTATACTAAAATACAAAATACGGAGCTAAAAGTAAACAAAATGATGCTTCTTGACTAGTGAGAAATTACTCAAGAGCTACAACTTTTCAACTCCTTCTTCCCTCCCCCAACTTCTCTTCTCCAATCTCTTCACATCTGGTACCAGCAAATGTGAAGAACATGCATGTTCATCTGTTTCAGTAATGGGGTATGCTTAAACATAGCATTCACCTCTCTCTGGGCCTTCCAGTTGTGCTTAAATATCAGTTCCTTCCCAGATACAAAGTATAGAGCATTGAAGCAGTTTGGCTGTTCACACCAGCACACGTTACCTCATTTGTTGACATGTGTGCATGGCATACATAAAAAGTAGATCAGACATGTTAGTTAAAAATACCAAAGAGAGCTATAAGAAGAATTGGGAATAAATGAAAGAAGAGATCTGAATTGGCAAAAAGAAATAAAGAACGCAATATGTTTGTAGAAGTCCTCAAATATTTCTACATATTGCTTTATCCTGGGATTCCTCTGCTCTGATTAATGCTGTTTCTTGAACTACTTGCATGAATGGAGGTATATGATCAATAAAACATACAAGTTTATCATACGAATTAAATTATTCATCTGTATGAAACCAGGAACAGATGTATATATTGTGTATATATTATACATATACACACACAGCCTACATGTGCATACACACATATATACGTTGATTATTAATTTGTAGAACTGATTTCAATGCCAAAAGTTACCAATATTTCCACTGAATTTCTCATTAATATCAAGCTCCTTAGAACAAAAGCAGGCTTTGAATTTTTTTTTTAAATACATATTAGGTTGAGCACACACTTACTTTTTGGTTCAGATATCAAGGTCAAAAACACCCTCAAGCAATCGCCATGCCTGAACAAGGGAAAACATTCAACTATCTCTGACACAATCTCAGAAAATGCCTGCAAGTCTCATAAAACAGTAGCAAATAGAAAACAGGAATGGAGAAGAGAAAATGGGAGAGGAAACAACTGGTTCTGTGACAGTAGGACTAATGAGGTCTGGTTTTCATTGCTGTCTGTCTTGTGGTTGTATTCTCTGCTCCTAATAAAAGGTAAATTCTGATGGAAAGTCCCTTTCTCATAGGTGAATTCTCTGATGTGTAACAAGAGCTGAACTCATCACTGATTTTCTTCTTTACCTAATGCCTATCTGCAGGAAACTCACAAGAATGTACTTATATTTCAGCTCCTACCTCACTGTCAAATTTGATAGAAACCAGCCAATGAGTTAAAAATGTAACAATGTCAAGATGTATTAATGGTGGAAATAGGTACGGAAGGAACAGACAGGCCAACGTACATATACACATGCGTATATAACATGGCCACATATGCCTTTTTTCCTTAGGAACTACAGATAAAGGGAAGCTGGAGGAGATAGAAGTTTGTGAAGAATAGACTGCAAAATTTTTTTTTTTCTCCAAATAGACTAATTCAAATTGGTTTAACAGCTGCTGTTCAGTTGATTATATACTGTGCAACTGAGGTACGTATTCATGCCTTCTCAGGGTACAATGCCCACGATATTTAATAATATACTTGGCATTCACTTTTGAAATATAACATATTCAGTGACGTTGGGAACGACCTTATAAAATATATTTTAAAACCCCATGAACCTAAATATCTTAATGCAATTTTGTACAAAATTAGTCTTGTAAGATATCATGGGAAAAAACATGAAAACTGCATGCAAGCAATTGAACTATGCAAACTTTGACAAGTTCTCACAGAATTGGCTGTTCCTTTAAGAATATATGGTCCTCATAGGAGTATTACACAGCTGAAGTGCTTTCAGAACAGATACATGGATTTGATAAAGGGTATTATCAGAACAGCCTAGGAAAAATAGTCAGCTGGTTCCTTTGAGGGTTGAAAGAGCACGGTTGAGGGACAGAACTACAGCAGGCAGAACAGCTTTAGTGAAAAGAGTCTGGGCTAGGTAACTATCGGACTAAATTGTATTTGGAGGGGGTTGTTGCTCAAGTTTGTTGGTGAAATTGCAAATGATGTTCTAGAATAAGACCCTGAGAAAACTTATGATGTTGGAACCAGCCAAATGAATTATTTTTGAAGCTGACAAAGGGCAGAAATGATACTAGATCGCCTTCTCCTAAAAAGTGGATATGCTGTACTGCTTGGAGTGTTGATGTTGCAGAGAAGGATGTACCAGTGTGAAATTCAGAAGGGAAACAAACATCTGCAGATAAAATAATTAGCACTTTTTACATTCCGAATAAGATTGGTTTGAATTGTTGGTGGGACTCCACCTATATGTACATATGATTTTCATAAATGCAATTTTTCTTGTCATCTAATATAATAATCATGAAAAGCTCACTTAAGAAACATGAACTGGTTGCGAAAGAGAATGTTACAATTTAAGGTATTAGTATATGTCACAGTGACAAAACAATAACCATGAAGGTGATGACTGACCAATCCCTAAGTAAGTCAGGGTGCTAGTTTAAGTACTTTAGTATTTCTACTCTCACCCATTTTCCTGCACGTTGCAGCTGTGCTGATTCATCATCCTTCTTTTAAATTAGTAGGTTTCAGTATTTTTTTTATTTACAGAGCCATCAGTTTCCAGTGATGAGGTGGACTCTTGAACCATGGCAAGAATTTTGTTTTTTGCAGTTGCTTTTTACAGTTCAAATGGACCTTCAGTAGTATGAGGGTCACAAGCTAAAAATCACCATTCTGTACAGTCTCAGCAGCAATGTATTCTCAGTATTTACTTCACTGGGTGTGGCACAACACTCCAGAAACACTGACCTGTGGGAGATTATGGGAGTGCTTGCATATTGGCAACAGTAGAGTGATAGAAGTATGCAGATAACACAGGCTAATTTACCATGCACATAAACCATTCTGCACTTGTCCCTGTGACCATCAGATCCACATAATATACAGCCTACTTACTTTATTGCCAACCTATTTTTATAAAGTATGATTTTTCTCCTTTTCTACTTTCTGTTGCTGGCTCACCTAAGTAGAGGACTCTTTGACAACTAAAGTATGTATCAAGACCAATCTAAGACACAACTGTTAAAATGTCACAGAAAACACAGGCACCTTGAATTCTTATTCTTTTAGGAACCTGGAGAAATTGGTCCAATTTTAGCAATCAATGAAGCATCACATTTAGAAAGCAACAAAAAAAAGACAGGGGGAAATGCTTGCCATAAATGCAATTGCCACCAAACTCACTGGAGCTAAATTTATTTACTTCAGGGCTTAGAAGCAAAACCTGTTCCATTTGAGAGATTTTTGCTCTCACACAACAGTCACAACATTCTAAAATTGCAAGCACACACTACTCTATGCGTGTGTGCGTGTGCGCATGTGTGTGTTAGTTTTAACCTTTGCTACAAAATATCCCAACCATCTAGTAACTCATCATCATGCTCTGCATCTGCCCATAAGGAACTCTGCCTTCTAATGAGAAGTGACATTAAAGATGCTTATGCATGATTGAGTACACAGTAATGACTCTTAAGCAATATCACTTAAGCTGATGCAACTGTTGTTCTATGCTCAAAAGATCATACAATTTTTCATTTATAATGACCTCACTAGGAATAGAGAATTTCATTAGCAATAGAGAATTTAAATGCAAGGGAAAATTCAGTTTAAATGTATCCATTTTTATGTTTCTCCCTGTTGTAGACTGCAAAATGGTCACACCCATTTTTCCCACAAATAGCTTATAATCTTCATGTGTTTACAGTAGTAAATACACTTCCTATACAGTCCTTCAGTTGCTAGCAAGGAATGAGTATTATTACCTTGTTTTATTCATCATGAGGTTAAATTAATCAAATAAAACAGTGCAAGACACTTATACATAACATGAGAGAAAATCATTGCCACAAAGTTAAGATGCCAAGGGAGAGTAAAGCATCTGTGGCTCTTCCTAAGCAAGACAAGTTACATACTTCAAGGTTTATCTGTACCATACAACTAGCCCTGCTAAGAAGGGATATTTAATTTGGTGGAATGCTGCATTATTTTGTTCCATGATCTGAGCTAGCTGTATCATACCATGCAGACATACCTTCCACGTCTCAGTTTTCCAACCATCCACGGGAATAGCAAAAGACCTTTCACACCAAGCTGTGTCCATTTTGTGTATTTACTGCAAGCTCTTTGGTGAAACTTTTGTCCAGAGTGCCTGGGTGCAAAACTTGGCTGGGGCATTTAGTCATCATTACAAAAAATGAATATTATACAAATAGCACCTGGACTTCAGAAAATTACTAATCCATATAATACAACTACATTCTGGTAAACTGGCAAAATAATGCCTTGAAGAGGAATAATGAGAAGAGATACTTTGGGATAAGATTTTCCAATTCTGCCAATATATTTTGTACAGCATCATATCCCAAAGTTCTACTGTTGTAACTGTAACCTAGAGCTGGTCATCAAAGGTGCAGTTAGCTCTGGTGTTCTCCAGGGCAGACAGTAGTCCCTTTCTCTTTCCTAAAAGACTATTTTCAGACAAGTCCTATGATTTCTACTGGACAAAGACTCTGAATTTTGAATCTCTCCAAGTAGCTCTTCTTAATTTGTTTGATCAGAAGATCAGCTACATCATTTCTTTCTGCACTCTGCATAAGTAGAAATATATTACTTTGCAAGGGGGAAGAAAGATTTAAAATAGCAGAAAATTAATGCGTGGTTTCCAGATGTTTTTAATCTAAAATGTATTAACCATACTCGTAGCGTGACAAATGTGAGCCTGATTGTGTAAACAGTACAGGACGAAACAGATATGCTTCTTTGTGTTGCCTATACTAAATGTATAAACTAGAAAATTACCTTGTCCAGTGTATTCAAAAGAATCTGCTTCATCAGGAGTGTCAAGGTCATCGACGTTGATGTCGATTTCATCCGGTGTATCCAAATTATCATCAGAAAGTACAGACTCTTCACTCTGGTCCAAAGAGAGACTGATATTTGGAGCTGTGAGCTTTATTCTTCTGGGATGGGAGCCATTAAGATCAAGAGAATTGGGAGGTTCTGAAAAAAGAGGAAGAAAAAATGAACTTTATCTCTGCATACCAGTCATCTCCCAAATACTTAGGAATCACCTTCAAATATACTGGAACAGAGCAATTTTAGTAATAGCAAGCCATTTAAAGCCAACTAATATCAAACACGAATAGCTTATATTAATGTTTAAAAAAATAAAACAAAAGAAATATCTACAGAAATGGCAGGTGGAGCTGGGGGCTCTTAAATTATGTGGCATCCAGATTACATATTTTTTACAATTGTCAGCCAAAGCTTCAGACATGCTTCTGAACCACAGCGTTTGAGCATTTAAAGAGCAAATCATTTGAGCTTTGAACCAATACATTGCTGAATCCAGAAGAAATTCATATGAGTGAAATGCTCCTGTTAAGTATCTGTTTTGTTATGCACTTGCTGCTATTCCAGTGGTGCTGATTTGCAAGTAGGAGCCTATGTCCTTAGTCTTAACTATATGGTATGATATTCAAAACAGTAACAAAAATAAAAATACCTTTGAGTCTCATATTTGGTCTTAAATAAAAGTAATCTTCAATAAGACAAAAGTTAGGTACAGCTTTGCCACTTGCCACTGCATTGTGTGCCAGATTTTAAGCTCATCTGTTTGAATTAATATATTCTAATGCCAGTTCAGTTCACTAAGACTGTAGTCAAATATAAGATAAACAAGACTACTTAAACATCACAAGAACTAAACAGTGATGAAAACAATTCACAAGAGAAAATAGATGGCACACTACAATTATCATTTGTCAAGTGAAGAACAGAATTAACTAAATAAAGCAAACTTAACACTTTTTAATGCTGATTCCTTACCATCACAGAAACATCTTCTCACCACATAATTAAATGCCAAGGGAATGAAATATAATTAAGATAATGAATAAGAGCTTCTCTTACCAGGTCTTATTTCTGTAGAACTGGGGCTTAATACACCCTCAGCAAAAGGGCTGTCCATTCCCACATTCTCCGGTACCAATCTAAGAGGTAAAATATAAAGCAATATCTTAGAGATACACAAGTTGACCAGGCTCTCAAGATAACTCATGTGATCTCACCTGGCACTCATTTTTTCCTCAACACATCCAGTTTAAAAGTCTGATCACAAATTAATGTAAGTGAGAACTGAACACAGCTGTCGTAAGTCTATTATGCAGTTCTAATCCACTTATTTACCCACATGCCTATCACAGAATCACAGAACAGTTTAGGTTGGACGGGACCTCTGGAGATCATCTAGTCCAACCCCCCTGCTCAAGCAGGGTCACCTAGAGCATATTGCCCAGGATCACATCCAGGCAGGTTTTGAATATCTCCAGGGAGGGAGACTCCACTACCTCTCTGGGCAACCTGTGCCAGGGCTCAGTCACCCTCACAGGAAAGAAGATTTTTTCCTCATGTTCAGAGGGACCTTCCTGTGTTTCAGTTTGTGCCCGTTGCCTCTCGTCCTGTCCCTGGGCACCACGGAGAAGAGTCTGGCCCCATCCTCTGGACACTCCCCCTTCAGATACTTGTACACATTGATGAGATCCCCCCTCAGTCTTCTCTTCTCCAGGCTGAACAGGCCCAGCTCCCTCAGCCTTTCCTCATAGGAGAGATGCTCCAGTCCCCTCATCATCTTTGTAGCCCTCCACTGGACTCTCTCCAGGAGCTCCATGTCTCTCTTGTACTGGGGAGCCCAGCAGTGGACACAGGACTCCAGGTGGGGCCTCCCCAGGGCTGAGTAGAGGGGCAGGATCACCTCCCTCCACCTGCTGGCAACACTCTGCCTCATGCAGCCCAGGATACCCTTGGCCTTCTTGGCGCCCAGGGCACACTGCTGGCTCATGGTCAACTTGTTGTCCCCCAGGACTCCCAGGTCCTTCTCTGCAGAGCTGCTCTCCAGCAGGTCAGCCCCCAGCCTGTCCTGCTGCCTGGGGTTATTCCTCCCCAGGTGCAGGACCCTGCACTTGCCTTGGT